GTCATATATTCGCGCTGCTTGAACCGTGCCACGAAAGCTCGCGGTAAATCCAAAATAAATCGCCGGCAGCTGTTGCGTCCGTATCTTGCTGTTCGTCTAGATACCAGGCGTACATTTTCCAGCAGCCCTGCGTTTTTCTTAATAAAACGTTCAAAGATTTAGTCTCGAAATTATCTTTCTAAACCGTCCCGTGAAAGTGTCCCGTCATTCTTGAAAAATTACCACGAAAAATATACTCGCTGCTTGGTAAACTGTAAAAGTTATCGCTTTAATAATTTATAATTTAACAAATATCATACTTCGCCAAAGCAAGCAAAAGCGTCGACAATTGAAAGATTTTCTTTTAAAATTCTCACAGTACGATCTTGGACCCTCGTAATCGATCGCATCTTATAAAAGCTAAATCGTCTCGAAATCATCAGTCAATCAGTGATTAATAATACTTATCGTATCGTGAAAATAACTATTTGACGACAATCGACACGGTGACAGAGGAAAAAATTGCGAGGAAGGACGAAACTGTGAAACGAAAGGAAATCGCGCGTTGGTCCGGAAAACGCGGCAACCTGTTTCCGCTTTGTTCCTCCGATCTTTCGTGAGGGCCTGGTCGCGTGGGGGCGGATGGAAGAACTCGCAACGAGACGTAAAACGGAAATAGAAACGGCTGAGAGCATCGATGCTCTTCCGCGTTCCAACAATCGCGTGGACCAACTTCTTCTACTTCTGTTCTCTCTCCACCTCCTCGTAGAAAACTCGCGTTCTTTCGTTTCCTCTTTCCTTCACTCGGACGGGCTTTGTTTCTCGTTGATATTGCGATTGAAGCTCCCTTACTTCCTCGGGATTACCTCTGGCTGACTGGCCCCCTTTTTAAGCCACTCTGCACGCCACTTCCGTTTCGATGTCGTCCTCGCATTCCCTGGATGTTTGTGCCCGAAATAGCTGCCGCTTTTGTGAATCCTCGGATCTCTTCCTTTCTTCCTTCTCCCCTCCCCTCTTCTCTTCTCTTTCTATAGATACATCTTACAAGGCTGTTATTGTTACGTTGGAGAAACTCCTGGAAAAATCTGACTTGCGCACGATTTTCTTTCTTTCGTGGAACCAGAAGCTGTGAACACCTTTTAGACACGATTTTTATCGATTCGAGCGGTAGATGAACATCGATGGATTTATAATTTGCATTTAGGGCATATTTTGTTGATTATCGAATCTGAGTCACATTTGCGACTAACTTATGAATTTCGTTAGCCATTCATTACGTGCTAATTTAAGTGCAGATAACGAATGAAATAAAAATTCTTCGGTCAACAAATTATCTGCCGTTGCATAGCTCAGTCGACGAATTTTCTAGCTTTCGGTCCACGGAAACGAAGGGTTTCCCAAAAAGAGGGGCAAATCCCGAAAGAATGGGTTTAGAACGAGTTGTCTCGAATTATCCTGCGACGCTTCCTCAATTTCAAAGAGGGAGAATTCGAAGACGGTCGTCCCGTTTGGAATAATCATGCGAAAAGCGACGAACCGTCAGAATTGGAGGCAGTCCTTTTCTTCACGGTATTTACGTTCAATTTCACTGAGTCTAATGTAACGAGGGCTCGTTGGCTCTCGAAGTGAGACGAATTCGATTGCTCCGGCCGAAGCTGGATAGGGCCGGCCGGATCGAACGAGCCGTACGTGAATGTGCTACAGAGAGAAGAGCATAAAAATGAACCGCCTCTCCGAGATTTATTTACGCGGAGAAACTTACGACTTTTATTCAATACCTGACTCGTCGAGCCCAAAGAATTCCATGGCGATCGCGATCGACGCGGTAATGCATCGGAGAGATTGCTTCTTACGTATCCCAGAAGATCATATCAACACGTTGCTTAAGTAGATTAGAGTCGTTCGCAGCAACGAATATTTGAGGTAGAACTCTTCTCGGCGTAATATTTCTTGAACTTGAACGTTGAAAAGATTTTTCTGTTTGTCTGAGAGGCTCGTTTATTTCCTGTTAAGCTCGATCGAAATACTCTTGACTCTGTTTCGAACCAATTTTCAAACAATCGTGGTAGAAACGGATTGTCGAGCACGTATCGACCGACGCTGGTCAAGAACGGCTGGAATAGCATCGCGAGAAATCGGTGGCGTGAACGAGGTAAACTGCCGCGCCTAGGTGTACATACGCATGTCACGATATACGTGGCCGGTGCGTTCGCAGCCCTCCTTCACACTCGGCATACTTGATCGGGTTTATGCAGGATGCACCGTAACCGCAGCCCAGGTCTCTCCCACAGTTGAGCCGGCCTGCGTGTCCGCGTGACATTTCTGTGCGCGAGACTCTCCGGGACGTGCCTGAAATTTTCTCGTGCGCGAAAAACGCGCTCGCGCGACTACTCGCACTACCGCCTAGACTGTATTAAGGACGCAACGAGCTGGAAAATGTTCGTCGTTCGTAAACGACCGACGTGTTTCTAACGTATATGTAGATCGGCCTCCGATCAGCGTTTGGATTAACGGTGCTCTTATCGATGGGCTTGATTTCGAATTGACAGGCTGACTGCAACGCGAATTTTATATATTTTACCTTGGGAACCGGAATAGATTCAAAATACACTACGTTATAACATTTAATTTTTCCAAAATATCGTATTTGCTTACTCTTTTCTAACGATGTTATCTAAATCATTCACAAGCGCTGATCCATTTAGACCATGAAGTTTATCTCAAGTTGTTCATTTTAAAGAGATTATTAAAACGTAGGACGGATGAATATGAGTGTACATATATATATATATAAATTATATTTTTATATTATACCAATTTTCGGATAAATTCTCATTATAGTTTCCAGATATTACAGAAAATAAATTTTAAGAAACTTGCAATCTATTCAATCCCAAAATTCATCGTTTACCTTTAGAAAACCCGTGCTTTCACACGATACCTCGAGCCAAGAAACATCCTTGGAACAAAATCGCGTAATCATTCCGTATAAAGTCTATCTCCCAGCAAAATCTCGGTTTCATTGGAAATGTCTGGAGGAAAATCTCGTAGGTCGAGGTTTTACCAAGAATCGTCGATGGCCTTTGAGGCACTTGGACGAGGCGGCGCGCGCGTTAGGACGCGCAGCAACGCGGCAGCGGTTTTCTTGTTCCTCGCAAAAGTATCGGAGCTCGCACGTGCGTGGCAGAAAGGGGCTAGGCGGGATAGATCGACGTCGTCGTCGCGTCGATGCATTCCGCGTGCTTTCGACGCATTTCTCAGGGACCTTATGCACCCGCGCGCATTTGCTATTCCACCGGGGGCCGTGGCCGTGAGGTGAATAACAGAAGCGGAGCCGAGGCAGGTCGACGAGCGTGCCCGCCTGCGAGTCGAACGCGACGCGACCAACTTTGTTCGGAGATTTCCACGGTGACTGAAAAACGAGCCTGCCCTAGGCGTAAGCGCTGCCTGGAATTTTATCCGATACACGCGAACAGAGAGAGTCTTCGCCTTCCGAGAGAACATTGCGCGGAATTTTAGTTTGTTTTCAAATGAAAACAGTCGGATGAAAAGGAATTTTGACTCCGCGATTCTCGATATTATGATATTATGATAATCAGCAGTCGTTGTCTTTGGAAATTTTCTGGGAAATCTTATAACGTGTGATCGTTGATATTTCGAAATGTTCTAATAGTTCTAAATGTTCTAAATGTTCTAAATGTTCTAATGATTTGTAAGCGTTCAATATGGCTACGTAAGGATTTGTCGTCTTTTTATGTTATCTTTTTATTTCATTTAAAAAAGATTGCCATACTTTAAGTATGATAATAAGTTCTTGAATGGAATTGAAGAGCAACTTTGTTTCTACGCGTTGACGAACACAAATTAAATGATGTAGGAGTCTGGATTGGGTTTGGGGGATGCCCTTCGATGTTGGAATTTGTGTAGAAACTTCGAAGGTTCGCTTTGTCAAAAGGCATGCGATGACCAGAGTATGTGAAGTTTAGAATAAAAAATTACAGAAAAGATTGCCACTGTTTCAAGTCCTTGCTTTAGGATAATTTATAGCTACGCACTTAAGTTACCGTTACCTATTCACTACTGTTGCACCGTTTCAAATGCAAAATATGCACAGATTATACATAATTCGTAGTTAGTAATTCTTTGTCTACCGAATTGAAACTGCAGTCCAAACCAAGCTTCGTTATAAATTCGTCGAATAGAAAGAGTTTGAAAGAGTAGTCATGTTAGGAATTTGAAGAATATCGGTCCGATATTATTCTAAAAGTGCTGAATTGCGAAAGATCGTGACGCACGGCGATGAAGTCCCTTCCATCGAAAGATGCTAAATTAAAATTGCGAAGGACGAGGACAGAGAGGGTCGCGTGGAACTCGAGGAAGGTCAAGATATCAGAAGGGTGGAGGAGAAGGGGACACATGGGGACGTGCTCCCGCATATCGTTCCGACGAATAGTTTGAGGTCAGCGTTGCTTTGGTCCCGAGCCATCGGACGGAGTTTGTAAACTGGCGGAACTTTCCAGATCAACAGCTGCCTCGACTTACCGATATACACGAGGAACTCCTTTCGAATATGGTTTCTGTAACCAGTTTACGACGATGCGTGCTATACTAGAAAGTCGTTTCTTTTTACGCTTTGAACATAAAAGACAGACAGAGAGTTTACCAGGAGTCCGAATGCCAGTTGACTCTCGGACAGTTATCTTTGTTCTCCTTTATGAAAGATGGGAGCGGAAGTGGTACTGTCTGTCTGCCATGTCCTTTCTATTTTCCTTGCTAACTTACTACGGTCGGTGTAAAGTTGATAGAAAATTAGTAAACTGGAAACTGGCTACTTTAACAATATATATATGCAAATTTATGGAAATGCAAACCTAATTTTTGTATTTAGGAACTAAAGTTGTAAATTTTGAGGAATTTATGTCTCTGAAAGATAGAAAGTTAGAAATTTTATAATATGAATGTTTTAACAGAAGCAAGTTGAACGATGTATTCGAACGGAAACAAATTTTTATGAATTACAGAACGAGAAGCTGGAAGTAAAACAGAAATGGGCCTCGCGGCTTTTAGGCAAGTTACGAAAGGATATCACGCAGGAGTACAGGGAAGACTTCGTACTGAGTATCACGGGGAAAAGGCCAGCAATGTGTGTCCTGAGTAATCCTGACCAGAAGGGTAAAATGCGTCGTATCGACTGCCTGCGTCAAGCCGATAAGGTACGTCTGACTATTCCCTTCCCAATCTACTTACTTCTGCTTAAGTTCCGTATGTTATCGAAACTCTTTCCATGAGCATAAAGCAAAGAGACGCTTAATCTACAAAATTAACTAATCATTTATTCATTACACTTTGTATTCGATAATATATTTAATTTACAATTATATTTTTAAATACTTGGTAGTACCATATTTTACTCAAAATTCAATACTTCAATTTTCTAATGAAAAAGTAGTTGAAATTGTCGAATTTCAACGAGTTCGATTTCGCATGAAATCGTAAAAGGAGCATGAAAACCACCATGGACCGGAGAAAATCGAATATGGTCCCTGGTGAAGTTCCTGCATTCAGCTACAGTCGATAACCCTTGGTCGTCGTCGTTATGTCGCAGGTATGGAGGTTGGACCTAGTAATGGTGATCCTCTTCAAGGCAATTCCGTTGGAGTCGACGGACGGGGAACGGCTGGAGAAGACTGCGGAATGTGCTCAGCCGGGCCTCTGCGTCAACCCCTATCACATCAACGTCTCCGTCCGGGAACTCGATCTCTACCTCGCCAATTTTATCACCAGCCACGGTAAGGGTTCGCCACTATACTCATTCGATTAAGGCGAGACTCTCGACCCCATGAGAGTTTCAAACAGGGAAATCTATTTTCTGGAAATATATCTAGTTCGGTTCTCTCTCGTTCGAATTATCGATAGAGTCGTTTCTTTTCTTACCTTTGAGTAGCTGATTAATCGAATCGATCGGCAGTTTCAGAAACGAACGAATCGCGTCTTATCGTATGTTAGTTATTTGTAACAAATAATCGCAAACAATCTACCCAAAAAATAATCAGCTCTACTGCTATTAGCAGTTGCTATTATATTGGTACAAAGAGCTATTAGCTCGTATTTGTTCGATGAGGGGTGCGTTCTTTAGAATACATAGATTATTTCATCGGAAAGCGATGTAATGTTGCACCCAAGAAACACATTAGGTGCTTGAGACGTATGGAACAGTGTAACTTAAAACCCGTTTCTGCCCCCAAACTAAATGTGTTTTAGATCCTTGATCGAACACCAAACACCAAACCCTCTCCCAAACCATCAATAGTTATTGCCATTCTTGATTCCACCACGAAGTATTGGCTCGACGTGTCGGTTCTCGTTGATCTCATAGAGCAGAACCTAGAGGAAGAGAGGGGCAGGGGAGGGAGAGACAGAGAAGCGGGTGGTGGTCTGAATCGAGCGTGGCGCGTTCATTCACTCGCACATCCGTCCATTCAAAGTGTCCACTCGACTCTCGGCTTCGATTCAAAGTTTCTTGGAACGCTCTGCCAATTTCAACGGCCCCCATACAAGCAGCGACGGGGCTCTGGTTGTTTTCATGGCGCGGGCCTGGGTATCGCGCGCGAGCCCATTCTTCGCTGGCTTGTTTTCCAACCGGTGTCAAGGGGGACAAAGACTCGTAGGAAGAGTACCGGTGATCTATAACGATCTGATTGGCAGACTTTCGCGACCACTCCAAGGATCGTTCTTCAAGAATAGTCGATCTTGTCCAACGTCCAAGGCATCCGGTCGTTTCGCGTTCCATGATCCGATGAATTTAACCCGATACCCTCTGGCCACCTCGACGCCTTACATCATGGATTCTAGAACGGATTCTACGATGAATAGTATAGAAGTGATTGGTTGTAGAGATAGGAGAAACAGCCCATCGATGGTAGATGCTTGAAAGATTTTCAAGGTTTCCAAACGGGGATCTAGAGCGTTAGGGTGAGAGGATATTAGGGATGTTTGAGGTTACGCACGTAGTTTAGAAGGTGTGAATCGTTCTCGAATCCTTGGAATGATTGAATACTTCAAGGTGAATATTTAATATATAAAATTCATATCACTTGCAAAATTCATAATTTCCTACTTCCGAAGAGTATCTCGTATCTCTAAATCTTGCAATTGGAAAACCTTTCAATCCCGTGAACTTCCCCCAGGAGAAGCCAATCCTCTTCAACCCCTCTCTTTGAATCGCAAGATTTTCAAAATTTCTGGAAACCTAAATTTCCCTAGTTTCGTTATCGAACCAAGCGACAACCCAAGAGGATCTGATCCCGAAACAAAGTAAGCAAGACAGCAGCGGTTACACGTGGCCCGTTGATCGACGTGCTTCGATCGATGGCAGCTGGCAGGAGGGCCGAGACTGGCGCCCGTCCGCGCTTCTTCTTTCATTCGGTTTCATCGAACTCACTGACTCAGTCGGGAAACACGTAATTTCCGTACGTACGCGCGCGTCCTGGCAGAGCCCAGTTCTCGCCCCGTGACTCGCACACGCTCCGTGTGTTGGCTCCTCGCATCTCTTTCTCTCTTCTTCTTTTTCGCCAGGCTATGAACCCGTGTGGCTCACACACGCCTTGGCAGCCGGCTTTCTAATGTTTACAGCCGCGGTTGACGCAAAAATTGGCCAGGCCTACCGCACACCACCTACGAGAAAGAGAAAAAAACGCTCAGCTGCCAAGACATGGGGTAGGTTAGGCGCTTTCCAGACCGTTCGTCGCCATCTCTGATCGTTTCCTTCTCGTTTCATACTCTGCTGATCGTTTAACCCAGATATACCAGAATCTTTCACCTACTACTTTTTGAATTGTACGTATTAATTAAGTTTTCCCGTTGCTGTTACCCAGTTTTTGGAAGATTCCAGAGTGACCTATTCATCAGCTTCCCCAGGCTGGTTGATCATTTAATTTCTCTGCTAATTGATATCAATATCTGATTGAATTGAAGAGAATGATATCAGAAAATGTACATTTTCAATGTACACAGAAAATGTTCGATAGAAGGAACATTTTCATTTACATATAGAGAGAAGATGCTACTGTTTGAAAAAACTATAATATAGGACTGTCGATTCTGGGTCACTAGTTTTATAAATGTCGCTAATTTCTATTTATATCGTGGAACTGTAGTACTCTACGATATATTCACTAAAATTTATCTAAATCATTTACAAATATAAAATTTTTTCTAAATGTCCATGAAACTGCGATAAATACCATGTATTTATATGTCAAAGGAAATTATCATAAAAATCTTAGAATAAGAATATTAAATGCGTGCTTTAAAAAATTGAATAGAAATCTATTCGGTGTATTTTCTAGCATTCGGTCGTCGTGGTAAAAACTAGTAGTTGTCGTGGTCTAATTAGTATCCGAATCTGTTCTCTTTACTATCTTGTAGTTCCATCTCTTCCTTTCACATTTTTTTAATTGTTAGCTGGTCGTTTAATTCCTTTCGCCTAAGAAGTTTGCTAGACCCGCTTGTTCAAGGCAGATCAGGTTAATCGCTGTTATTTATTCGCATCGAAACTACAAGCACAAAACCCTTTTCGAACTTCGCGACCCAATTAATAGCGAACACTGTCTCGAGCCATGCGAAGATTCGTTCGTTTCGGTTCGCTGCATTTCAGAGTTTCCCAACTTCCTTGAATTCGCCCAAAAAGATTTCGTAGCTCGTTTTTTTATTCTCCGCGTCCTACTTTCAAAACTTCAAGGTCTCGATTAAACCCAAAAAATTCATACCCTTGTTTCTCGTAAATCTTTGTGTCTTGAATTAAAAGGCGTATGTACAGAAGTGTCGAAGAATGCCAGTCGACGGTGCACAGACGACGAACGATCAACATCATAAAAATTCCTGGCCCTCTGTAAATATACACGGCATCACAATAATATAAACTTACTGGCTGGCAAGGCGCGGCGTGGATAGCGAAGGCTCCGCTACTTCGGACCCTTTCGGATTA